CTCAAAGGGGTGGTCGTTACAGACGGCGCCAAATGGTAACACAAAACTCCTCGACCGGCTGGAACTTGGGTAATCGCCTTCCTTCTCGCCGGTTGAACGTCGTGCACCTACAAAGAACTCCCACAACGGAGGGGTTTTCCGGTGAAGAGCCTCCGAAGCTTAAGTCAGTGTGTATTCAATCAATTCTCAAGAGTAAGTAGTAGAATGATCGTGTTGAAGAAGAAAGGCTCACCCCCTTTATATAGGGGTGAGATACCTGACCTAGGGCTGCCCGGATTTGATGAGCTGTCTGCCCTAACTGCCCGTCCGTACACACCAAACGCGTGTGTCAGAGGCAGCCGTCGTCACTATCGCCTGCACCAATCCCCTTTGGACGCGTGTCCTCCTGCACATGGGATATGCTGTCAGAGGTGGTTATCGCTATCCACCACTGCCTTCTCGACACGTGTCCCCCTGCACATGGGGTAAATATTCCCCTGGAACTCTGTCAGCGGCTTCCTTCGCGCGCCTATGACTAGGCCGAACAGCGTGGTGTCGAGTCCTCGAGGGAATCGACCTGTCGAGGTCGAATAGGTTGCTCGAAGAATAGTTTGGTCGACAGCCTTGCTTGGTCGACTAGTTGACTGCTCGATTTCTTTGGCTTCCTCATAGTACGACCTCCTCAACCGGTCAAGAGACCGGTTCAGCCTTGTGGGTATAATATCCCATATCATCTAGTCCCCCCCACTCTGGTCGAGTCTGAATGATTCGATCTAAGAGTGAATTAGCATTTATCGTCCTTCTGGATGGTTCGTCGTTAGATATCGACCAACTGGTAAGATTCCCGCTCACTTTTTCGAATAATTCCCTATTAATCCTTAGCCATAATGTCATCCGCTTTAAGTCTTTTCTGTCGCATCTGTTTTCTGCCACGCGTCGCGCCTGTCACATGTGTCAGGCGCTTTAATTATCGCGCCTCCTCGCCTAACGTGTCCGTTTTGAGCTCCGTGCAAATTAATATTCCCCATCGTTGGATCTGCCTCTGATCCGACGGCTATGCTCTCCCAACCTTTTAATATCCCAAGTATATATTAGCACTTAGCGATTTTTTTCAGTTTTTCCACCTTTGCAACTTCAGGCTCCCCAGTGTTCAAACATTCCCTTTGCGAGAACCCTAATTTATTTCGACGCTTTCTCCTGCAATCTTCAAGCTCTTCCACATCTTCCATCTGTGCTCATGAGTAAGTTGCTCCTCCTCTGGTTTTACGCTTTCTGTGCTTAGGATTTTATGTTTCGAATTTTTTGAATTGGATGTTTTAAGTCTGCTAACCGGGTGTTTTGAATTCGTATGTCGGGTGTTGGCTTTTTCCCTGTTCAATTGTTCTAGATTTCGCTCTTTCCCTCTGAAATTCTCTTTGAATCTCTGCTCTCCTCCCCTGATTTCTCCCAAAACCACCTTTTTCGTAAAACCCCAATTTTGAAAACCTTCTCTTTCTTCCTCTCTTACTTTCCGTCCGAATTTCCCTT